AGAACATTAGTTGATGAATCGTTCCACCTGGACAACACAGAACTGGAGCTGTGTTCATAACTGAGCGTTGTGTAAATGGCCGTTGCTTGGCGGCTTGGTTGTGTCGTTAGAGCTCTGCCGAAACTGTAGTTCTGCTGTTTATTCTGCCTGACGTGTGTGTAATTGTGTGTATGTGCATGTTTGTGTTTCTCTGTGTGTTCCAAGAGCAGCATATATTCTGCTTTTACAAAACATGGTTAAGAGCAAGGTAAATGATAAATAAACAGGTTCCATCCACTCATCATCTAAAACATCAAGGTGTTCAGGAGGACAGGTCCGTTCACTTACCAGAGCGGAGCGTAAACTAATCATCAGAGCACTCTCTGTCCATTAAAGCTCACACAGAAAATGTTAAAACCTTGTTAGACCCATTTTCATACTACATTTCTCTGACTAACATGTACTCAGCGACCCCAGACTAAACTAAGATGTGCTATCATCTGATGTACATCTGTGCCCGCTTGCCTGTTTTTTCTGTGTGTCTGGTAGTATGTGTGTGTGGATAAACACGGAGTTCAACTGCGTGTCAATGTGTGTTTGTGCCTCTATAGTATTTGAATATGAAGCAGCGGTAATGGCTGGTGGCGTGTGTAGACATATAGATATAGAGAGAGCCTTGTCAATACTGTGGCCCAGCCATCTGTGCTCATTGCCTGCTCCTTAGTTAAGTGCTATTTATATCAGCATTTACTGAGTATGTTTATCTGCACCATATACTGAGCCTGGTTCATGGAAGAGGCCTTTTTTTTTTTAACAAAATCAATAATTTTGTCAATTACTGTGGTCACTTAATCTATGCAGTTCATTTTTATGACAAGAATAATATTTATTTCTACCACTAGGCGGCAGTGGTGTCTCTCTGAGTTGCATAAATTGCATCAAACTGTTTTCTAATTTGTTATTCACTCTTAAAGTGATGGTCATTAGATGTGTGCAAGAAGTGTTTTAGTAAGTCACCATTAACATAATAATACTTATTCAGTTCATTCTTTCAGTCATTCCGTTATTTATTTGGTTTTATTTGCTCACAGTCATTTTTTCAGTATTTAAATTTTCTTATAGTGCAGGTATTACACTAAGATTTGAATGGCAGTGTAAGCTGTAAATCCATAGCACATTAGCATCTTCACTGTTTTCTAATGAATCAGTTTTTGTCTAATCAATTCAGATTTAAATTTGGATGTAGAAAAAAATCAATCATTAATGGGACACATTTCCCTACTGTATAATAGTGAGAAATCAATAAGCAAAGTCATTGCAACTTTGGTATTAGGTTGTAATTGGTTGATTTTTTTATCACCTTTAAGAGAAAAATGATCTGTCTTGATAAGAAAATGTAAATTTTCATATAAGCTGTTGATTTTTTTTATAGCATACATATTGTTGAGCTCCTTGATTTTATGCTGAATATAAATATATATGAATAGTCTGTTTCTGACATGGGGGCAAACTAACATTCTTGCTCCCCTGCAAATTTAACCCCTGTTGACTAGGACTGTCTTACACCTCTGTTTCCTGTGGATGGCAGTAGTGTAGCCCAAAATGAAATGGTCATTATGTGTCAGTATGTGTTTATGTGAATGGATGCATGCACTTGTGGGCTGCATTCTTTTTCTCAAGAGATGAAAACAAGAACCGGTTGTGTGACTGTCATGCTATAAGTTAAATATTGGTTTCCATGTTCTGAACTCGGTGCTGATTGTTTCTGTCTTTAAACTAAAATCATTTGGTATAAATGTGTTCAGTTTCTTAAATACTGAACTTAGCAGGGTGACATGGGGTTGAGAATGTTTGCATACTTCTTGTGTGTGTTCTTTCATGTTGTCTGTTGTGTTTTTCATCATGAGATTTATTTGGTTTCAAGGTAGAGGAAAAGCGGTTGGTTTCCCCAGTTTTCTTAAGGAAACTGTTCTCTTTTGTTGTTCTTTCTTTGACCGCATGTAATATGCAGACCGTGGTAATAGGATTAGTTTCACCACTTTGACCAAGCTCTTGCATTGAAAGCATTAGATGTGCCTATTCAACTTGCCGTAACTCACTTTGAGCGCTCCACACACAGTCACATTTTTAGCTGTTTTACATAAAGCAGAATAAAAGATAAAACATACAAACCATCAAACCTGCCAGCGTGAAATCAGCTTCACTGTCCAGGAGATGTCAGTTAGGAGTGAAAGGCTTCACAAGTGTCTTTCATTAGTGTCCATTCTTGGTCTGGCATGAAATTTGAAACTGATGGACACATGGTGATATGGAAGGAAGTCGACCTTTAAATCAATTCACACAATGTAATTTCTCACCTTCACAATTGCACCTTCAGATTAGTAGTGCAGGGCCTGGTTAATGTGCACATTAAAGTACTTTTTTTTTTGCTCATTGGTGTGCATGTTTCTGTCTGCCTCTCCATCTGCATATGTGTACACAAGAAATTGTCATATTACTGTCTTTTCCTGTAGGTTTTTACTCCTTTCTTCCATGACATAAAAGCACAGATATATTATTGACAATGAAGCATCAGTAGCCGTGGCATGGATGACAATAGTGTTATGTCTATTGGTGTATTGAGCAATTTATTCTTCCTCATGATAACTAGAGGTGGATGCATTTTATCCTACTGCTTTCTAAATCTTGGACCCACACCTTTCCTGAACAAAAGACTAGTGTCCTCTGACTGATGTCATCCTCTTGGTACGTACGTCTATGGCCAGTTGCATTATTGATGACCTGTAAATATTCTCCCTGCTTTCAAGATGACGGGGCTGCAGTAATGTGTGTATGCTGATGTATCTGTGTTTCTGTTTACATGTGATGTGTTTTTTTCTGTATTTAATGCTCTTGATTTGATTTTTACTTCTTGGAGCAACAACTAGGGACCAAGCTACTGTTGTGTCTCTACTTTTTATTGTCTAATGCTGTTTTCACCTGATCCCCAATAGATGACTGCAGCAGAGACAAGTACATAAAATTTAGAAATATTCCGATGCAAGATGATGGTAGAAAGCAAGCTTCTGCAATAATGTTACTGTGTCGTTACATTTGCTCATGCATGCATGTAAATATTTATAACCAGGCTAAAATGGTACATCCATACTACATCTTGACTTTCACATCTCACCAAACATGTTTCTTTGCATTGTTCTTCATTTTTAGTTTTTTGTGTTTTAAACTTGATTGATTGGTGGCCTATTGTGATCCTCCAACCTATAAGATACAAACATAACTAATCCACATACAGCGCATTCAAAGGTGGAGTAGCTTGCTTGACTCGTTCATGCGTGATGGGCATGCCAGACAACTGATGCACCTATCTGCCTGGTGGAGTGCTACGATGCTGTCTGGGCTCCACTCTCTCCACACCTTTTTTACAGATAGTAACACACTGGTGATTCCATTTCATAGCCAGCAAGGCAGTGCTGATGTTTTTAGTTTTTTTTTTTTTTTTATGTGAGAGCACATAAAAACCAAATAACCTATTGTGTCCTGGGATAATAAGACAAACAAAACCATTCTGTTGAGGTGGATGTACAGTAATAATAAGTCTCTGAAGAGGATGCTGAAATGAGTTTAGTTGGTTCACGCAATTCATGACTGTAGTAAATAAAATTTGAGACCATGGGGAAAGATACACATTGTAGTTTAATACTGTCTTTTCTGTTTTTAAGCCTCTGTGCAGGGCATAAAAAATGTAGGGCTGGCGCAAAGTGGCCTTAAAAACGTTGTCAGACTTTGTAACACATTTTAGCCACAGTGGCTTTCATCAGACATTTAACATTATAGAAAAGTTGTGCGCTCGCAAATGCTTCTGTTGCTGTATATACGCCATAAACAAATTAGAAATGAAAATGATACAAACCACATATGTAGCCCTGACAAAATGAAATGTTAAAACAGTGTAGGCAATCAAAAACATACTTTATCTGTACAGTTCACTAAGCTGACAAGTTAGTTTATTAGCGTTAGCCTGTGGATAAATAAACCAGACTCAGTGGATAAATATTCGTTCATAGTCATTTTTTAAATAACTTGTTACAATTAATAGTAAAATTAATTTTGTCATCCTTTCCCTTCAGATATCTTCTGAGTTCACTCCTACACATTATATTCTCAATTTTAATAATGTTACTAAGCACCAATACATTCTTAACCCTTTATTGTACTTCTGACTCTTGCCAAAAAAAGCCCAAGCTTTTCAGTTAATTTGTGGTTTTCTCAGTTTATAGCTGAATCACACGATGAAACTCATCCAACACTCTTTGCACACTCTCTCCAGATCATTGGCATGTTTTAGCTGTTGGTTTTAGGTTACTGCAGCAGCCGAGTGATTGACACTTTAGACGATTGTTAGGATTGCTGAGGGATACAAGTCCCACCCTTCAGGAATTACTACTACCAAAACAACCCCTCCCACTCTAGACATACCCAAGCTGCAGCTTGGGCAAACAGCGAGACAGAGAGAGAAGAGGAGAGTCGTGTAAGTCAGAGAGAGGGACACAATTGTAAAAAGAGAGAAAAACAGACAGAGGTAAGGAGGGAGGAAAGGAACGTGGGAGGAGATCTTATTTCCACCAGTCAGGAAAAAATACTCTGTGCTGGATTAGGAAAGAGGAAGATCACATACTGATCTGGCAAGAAAGATAAGTGCAAGTGAGTGAGAGATAGAGTGAGAGCAGGGTAAAGAACCACCTACTGTCAAACGTTCAGAGCTCGAGGGGGAGCAGCAGTGTGACACACTTTTGGACGGAGGGTTTGATCTGACTAAACTCAGGTTTACTCTCAAGCAGCTCGGCAGACCTGACCGCTCCACCGGACTGAAGCTTCCACTGGATCACTTCAAACCAGTGAGGACTGTGGCCAGTGGACTCCAGGTGGCCTAGAGGGGGTGTCTGTGTGTGTGTGTGTGTGTGTGTGTGTGTGTGTGTGTGTGTGTGTGTGTGTGTGTGTGTGTGTGTGTGGCTTTACATGTGTGTGTGTGTGTGCCGTGTACACATGTAGTGTGTGTGGATGTGGAAGGAAAAGCCAGACCATGAGTATCATTCTCAAACCCCGGTCACGCTCTACCAGCTCATTGAAGAACACGGAGGGAATATGGTAAATAGTTGGGGAACTTTGTTCTGCTGGCAACATTTCAATGTCAATCCTGTTGTGTGTGTTGCTCTATTGTTCTCCATCTGCCTGCTCGTTGCTCTGTGAAATACTTTACCTCTGCCACACTAGCTTTGTCCCAAATTGTTCCTTTCCGTTTTTTGTCCCTGTTGGTTCGATGTGCTGTGTATTTGTTGATCTTTTAACTGTTTTCTTTGCTTCATTCTCTACGATCAAAACTCCCCTGGTTCATTGCAAAACTCTCTGTACCCTGTATATATGTCAGTGTGTGGTTTTTGTGTCAGTTCTTCTGTGCAATTCCTGTTGTGAAGTCAGAAGATTAGATTAACTCTGTCCTTAACTTCAGTGTATATTACACTTCATCAGCCTAACTCAATAATGACATGACACTTGGTGTTATTGTAATGACCCTGATGTCTTACCCTCAGTGTGGTTTTATAAGAACTCGCTGTCTAATCAGCTTGTAAAATTGTTTAAAACACAAGCTTGTAAAACAGCAAAGGCATCATCCATTGAGGAATGTGTTGAGTCGCTCCGTACATTCTCCTGTCTGCACATGGCTCCAGATTAATACAGGGTGCAGGGTGCAGGGTGCAGTGCCCGGGGCACAGCTCGCCCTGGCCTCCCCTCATGTCTCCTCCCCCCTCCTGTCTCAACTTGTCCTTCCCTGTCAGCACTCATTGCTTGGTAAGAAACTTCCCTGGAAGTTGATGTTCACAGTTGTTCCATTGTGGTTTTCTTAGGCATAACTGTAAAAAGGATCAGAACAACCCTGGATAAATACACTGTGTCCGTGTGATGGTTGTGGTGGTTGTGGCAGTGGGGAGCTTACTCCACAACATGTTTTTGAACCCTGTCGGACCTCCCTGCAGGGTTCACAGTGTTCTCACATTGTCAGTTTATTAATCTGCTCTACAACGTCCCCAGCAGGAAATGACGCTTGTGTGAAATGAAGACATATTAATTAGGTCTTGAGGGTCATAGTTTCTCTGAGCAGTGCTGATGATAGACAGTATGTGATGTGGTTTGATGCAGAGAGGGTGTAAAAGCATAGTGTGGTTATACATAAACCGGATATTAGTGTTAGAAAACGGAGTGCAGAATGTAGCTTTTTCTCATGTGGAAAGCTGAGGATCTGGCAATGTTAGGTTCGTATGAGCCATCTTTTTGAATGGCTACCAAAAGCAGTAATCAGCTGGACAAAGCATACCGCCTGCTCCATCTGTCCTGCCCTCCTCTCTTCTGTTATTTACTGTTTTATCTAGGCTTCTTTCACTAATTCTCATCATTGCTTTGTCTTTCATAATTATTATCTCTGTACTTGATATTTAAAGTAGATTTGTGACTCTTAGTTACTTAGTCACTTAAAAAACCTGAATTGTAGGTGATAATTCAGCTGTTAATGTTGTGAATGTTTTTGTGTGTGTGTGTGTGTGTGTGTGTGTGTGTGTGTGTGTGTGTGTGTGTGTGTGTGTGTGTGTGTGTATTTGAGCAGACAATTCCCTGTGTGTGTCTCTGGGTGTATATTTAAGACAGTGTTGTAGTCCGGGTGTGTGACATGCCCCCTAGCCTGACCAAACTCAAACAGACCCCACTCCACCCATCCGTGTAAATGTAGGTTTGTGTACAGAGACTTTTGATTATCCATCAGCATGTTAGCTCAGTAAATATGGCTTGACTTTTGGAAAGGTGAAGGATGAGGAATAGGGAGGATCGGATGTTTGTGAAATCCTATTAGCTCAACACCTATTGAAGCGCCTCTTACTCACTTCAAAACCAGAAGTGATGTTATAGTGTGCTGAGATAAAGCGTGGAGAAGTGGGGCATGTGTGACTTTGAACTCAAGTGTTTGCATCTGGCCTTTGTCAGCCCCCAGTTGGGCATCTCAGACAGGCAGTAAATGTTGAAGGTTACGTGTTGTCTGGCCTCTCATAGGGCCCGACATAGTGCAAGTTATCTAACATATTTTTCCACATTTGACCTTTAGTAAGCCAGACCTGAGATGACAAATAGGACCGAAAATAGGTTCATACTTAAGTGGACCTCTATGTATACGGAGGCAGAACTGGTTTGCTTTGCTGTGTGAGGTCATATGACACTGCATTGCCATGGTGATCTCTTTGTATGTGTCGCATGATTGACTGAGTTTTCTGAATGGCACAGTGACAGCGAGCACTAAAGCAGTGTCACGACTAAAGTGAAGGATTCACTTTGCTTATACCTGGCAGGGCAAGAAAGACTAGAAGAAAGAGCGAGACAGCAAGAGAGTGCAAACCCCTCAGGATCATTTTAGACAGACAAAAGAATGTAGTATAGTATAACTTTCTTCTAAATAAGTGCCCCTACCTTTTTCCAGTGCAGCTTTCTGTGAAGTGGTGTCCTGTATGTTAATTAGAAGCTGCGCTTTTTAATGTTCTAGCCAATGTGGCGTTAGATCCTTTTTCATTTATCTGCCAAAGACCATTTTGTAGCATTTGCTGCCTGGTGGGTGTTGATTTCACTTAGTGTACAGTATGTGTGTATTTGGGTGCTTCCGTTCATGAGTGAACGTGTGACTAAGAAGGAGTGTGTGTGAGTATGAGCCAGATAGAGAACGTGTTTTAGTTATCAGCGAGCGGTCAGCCACTTATCTATTTGGCCTGACTGCCCTGTGGGTGCAGGCCTCTTCACAAATTGTTTTTCTGTATCCTCTGTCACATGTCTCATGTTTTGCCCTGGTGTTGAGAGGGCAGTGTTGAGAATTAGAAGTTGGAACAATTAGAAGTACAGTGGAACTGAATGAGCTCACACATTACACCTTAATCTGGGAGATATGACAATACATTATGTATTGTTTCATCATATACCATGAAATACCCCTTTAATATCTCTGAGTGAGTTGGCATTGTGGGCAATGTTTTAAATCAAGGAGCAGGACTGCTTTATGTACATATTGGATTTAAAAAAATTTTTTGATTTGCTGCCTTAGTCAGAAACAGACATTCCTATATTTATTCATGAAAAGTTTCTCAGTTGAATTTCCAGAAACTGTACTATGTCACGACATACAGTGTATTGATATTACAGTATAACTTAATTACACCTACACCTGAGCTATACAGTATAATGTCATCCTGATATCAAACTTTTGTTTCTGTGATATTGTTACAGCTTAACTGTTTTCTGATCTTAAATGCTGCATTACAGGAAAGAGATACAATTTTGTGAACGTATCTAGAGCTGGGTATTGTTTGAAATTTTTTGATAGTTCTGTCAAGATGGTACCTGAGTTTTAGTATCAATACCAAAATAATATTTTTTTTCTGTGCCTTAGTACAAGGAATTTAATGTAATTATTGTACCAAACCTGTTTTTCATTTAGCAAAATACAACAAATGTCTCAATGCATCAGTATTTAATGTTGTACTAACACAAGTAGCTGCAAGAACTTTTCCATAATAGAAACTAATACAAGTTAAGGCTAAGACTCACACTGACACAATGCCAAACCAGTCAGATAAGTCAAGCTAGGTATTGATCCTCAACATCCTAAAAATATTGTCCCATTATCGACGTGGAGTTAAAAATATTGTAATATCTCACTACCATTTGGTGAGTTAGTTTATTGATGTAAATACAAATATTAACAACTTTAGATAATCAAGTAAAAACATTAGGTGGTGGTGATAAAGCCATGACATATTTGGTGGTTTAAATACCTTTTACCTGACAACACATTTAGTTTAGTAAATTAACATGACAAGACGATCTATTTTCCTCTGTTATCTCTGGTGGGATTCATCATTGTCTTTTGAAAACACAATGACAGTTAGAGTAGTTAACATTTTCTAAATACTAACTAATACTCTACCTTTCTCTGATTTTCTGGGACACCAACTTTTCTAACTGCATGGCGCCGCTACAATATACTTTTAAAGTTATCAGTCATATAAGCATGTAAAGCAGAGATGTTGGCTCTGTAGCATCACCAAGCCAAGCTAGCTTTTCCATTAGATGACATACGTATTGAATGTGTCACTGTGCCCACTCTGCCATCTGTGTGTTTCACCTTTGGTCTCGTTCTTCTTTTATCAAGTCATGGGTTGCTGTTTTGCATTTAGAACACTGTCAAGGATACCACATGCATGCAGGGGGAACACACTCTTCACAATCCTCATAAAAAAGAGACACTTGAATGCTCTCTCTCTCACACACACACACACACACACACACACACACACACACACACACACACACACACACACACACACACACACAGGTCTGACATGCCTCTCCTTGTCCTTCCTCCACTGCCTGCTCCCCTCTGTATCCTCACAGCCTTCTAAAATAAATCAAGTGTCGTCTTCCCTCTGTCTGCTTCAACACACAGCTCTGCTCTGATCCACACTACTCTACAAGATGGTGTTTGGAAAGTGTTTTTCATAGTTTTTGGTCAATTTATCTTCAGTTTTATCCCAATTTTAGTTAAGGTGAACGTTTTTTTAGATGTTCTGTATAAACCCAGCACAACTTGCACTTTAGAAACAGACCAAAACATCATGTTTGCATTACATATTGTGTCTGGTAATGTTGGACATTTTCTGGTACACCAACTCTGAATGATTGTTGTAAAACAGAGCTGCACTATGCATCCCTCAGCTGATTATTTATCAAAGACGCTTATGCCCTGACCTCTTTCTCCAGTACGTCTCCTCACAGCTCTGTCACGTCAACTCCTGCAGTGTTTATAATTGCTCAAATGACCCAGGGCTGAAAATGAATGAGTCATTGATCTATGCAATTTTTGTGTGTGTGTGTGTGCGTGCGTGCGTCTGAGAGAGAGAGAGACAGACAGATGGAGAAGGAGAAAGTAGATGGAGATAGAACTGATAGAAAGCCAAAGAGAGAGAGAGGATAAAAGAGTGTTGCAGTGTCCTTAGGCATGTACTGTATGTGACCCAGCAGTGTCCTACAATATAAAGTCACAAGAGCCACAGCTCATCAGTCTCAGTACCATTACAACTAAGTTTTCTGTGTTTAAACGTAGCATTGCCCTTTCACAGTGGATTTGAAAAGTTTTCTGCCAACAAACAAGCCCTTTTTTTTTCCTCCAGCTGAAGCATGAAACTCTACTCCTGTGGGAAACCATGTCCCTGCAGGTCATCCTCTTGTCTACTCGTGTATCTGCGGGCTATTGTAGCTAAATAAACTTACCTCTGTGTGCCTTTCACAGCATTGTGTTACTTTTATCATAGTTTATTTGTCTTTTTTTCATTTTCCAATGAACCGTCTTTAGACATCAGGTAAATATTGAGCTTTGATTACAGCAAAGTTTCTAAGTCTTCAGTGTCTAAAAGGAAAATATGCTTGCTGCAGGAATTAGTCAAGTGAAATATATGGGTTACACATATGCATTTCTGACAGGAATTAAATAGTCGAGACAATTTATTGAAGTTTATAGCCCTAAAGTCACAAGTTTGTTCCAGAGAGTTTTTACAGACTTTGAAAGAAAGAAAAACACACCTCCGGCAGATGGAAATGAACTGCGATGGCTAATACCATCAAGTTAACAGCAGGAGTTACATCAGGTTCTATAGTTGCATTCAATTAGATGTGGTTACATGTGAAAAATTATATCTCATTATTACAAGAATAATTTCATAGCTCACACTGTCTCTTGCATTGCAGTTTATGGATGTTACTGAAATAAGATGTTACCTGTATTTGTTTTGTTTTGAAATAATCATGTCAAAATTGATGCAGTAAATAACTTGACTTCTCTAAAGAAAACCACTTTGGCAAATGGAATTATAACTGTAGAATCTATTTCCAAATGTAAAATTTGTAGAATTTTTCTAGCACAAAAACAAAAAAAGATGGTAGGGATAGGTGGATGGTGAACGGGAGTTGAGGGCAACTGTAAGCAGTGATATTCTGCAGATGGGATATCTGGAGCAGCCTGAAAGAGCTCTCTGTCATCCGTCCAGTGTTTGTGCATCAAATATTTCCTTCCTTGCCGATTATGTCTCGGTTCAGTATCACTCCCTTTTTGGGTAAACTGTGGTTTTCCATTATCTCGGCCTCCCATCTCAACAATAATCCTCTTGTGAGTTCTAATCATGCTTTCTGTTGATTCTCACAACATAGTCATAGGGGTGTTGACATTTTTCTTTTCCTCGCACTACGATGTCAGTGCTGGTGCAATACCTTCGGGAGCTGGTTGCAAAGATTATTCATGTCATTCACCTAAAAGGCCGTGTCTGTGGAGTCACATTGCACACGCTGTGACGGGAGATATGTTATGTGTCAGAGGTTTGGCTGAGAGTCAGTGTAGGCCGTGACGTCAGAGTAAGTGATAATGAATCAGCTGTTAAACATATGCTTGTTTTCACGTTTCGGCACTTTCACTATCTCTCTATATGTCATCTTTGTCTCTTTCTTGTTCGCAAACATGATGCACAAACTTCGCGCACAAAAACCCCAGGAAAACAGACTGACCTGTTCCCAGGAATGACAACGTATAAGTCACCTGTGTGAGTCTGGGCTTTCTCACCTGGGGTGAATATAACAGATGGATCGCTCGATGTGAAAAGAAGGTGTAGATTGGGGGTTGTGTATGAGTATGTGTCTGTATGTGTGAAGGTAAAACTGGTTTAGAGTGACATGGTTTTGATCTAGTACTAAATATAGAAAGACAGAGGGACAGAGATCGGGGTGATGTGTGTAAGATAAGACAAACACAACTGGGGAGAAAACTTGCTGGAGTCATTGTAACTCACATATTGTGTCTGTGTGTTTTCCTAAGACCTGGTTAGAGATGGGGACGAGGACAATACGATTGCCCTTCACTCAGTCATCAGGCAGACGGCCAAAATATCTCATTCCAAAACTAAAGCTCAGACTCAGCTCCTGCCACTCAGAGAGATCACAGAGAGATAGCACTGCATTTTAGCCAATTATTTGTTGAAGAAAATATGCTTGGCATGTCCTGCATTTTCCTGTGGCTGTGTCAAGTGTGTTCAGATGCACAGCGAATAGCTATTGTTTCTGATGTTAGAAGTAACTGCACTAGAAAATGTAGAAAGTGTTCTAGAAATATATATGTAAATAATATTTTATTTATTTTCTTATTTATTTTACTTTTTCTTTCAGGCCCTTTGCACTTAGAAGTCATTGCTTATTCTTGTTTTGGATGGTTTATGCTACAGTTAACCAGGATATATTAGGTTTGCTATGTTAAAATGTAGCATTCTGGCTCCTAACTTAAAGAATGCCTGCTATATCATGAATGTAATTCATAGACTGTGCATTGAATGGATATTATTGACACACTGACTCTCAACAGATAGACGGAACATGAAATGCTTGTAGTTCGGGGCGTGCGAGGCTGAGTCTTGGACTCTGTCCACGACATGGCCTTTGGGCAGGAAGACCGACTTCCTCCTATTAAAATAATCTCTCACAAAACACTCACGAGCGCAATCTCCGATTTTCCAGATCTACAAACCAAACTTGATAAACACAATTTAAAGTGATAATATCCTGTACCTATCAGAGGTCAGTGAGTCATCTGTTACTGAAAATTTGAAATATCCTGAAGAACACGTACAACCTCAGGATGAAAAACAGGAAGGGGACTGATAGCAGCATTAGTCATTTCTCATTGTGTAATGACAATGAATATTTTAGTTGGATGTTTTAAGTTCTGCATTGGAACGTACTTTCTACACCATACAAACGCAAGTATATGTACACTTGCACTCTTCTTTCTGTTCTTAGGACATCTTCTGCTCTTCCACATGTATAAACATACTGGCAACAGCCATGAAAATGCTAACATTGGCAGGGTGTCCTGTACTGGTTAAGGATGGATGGGTGGATGGATAACATTAGATTAAATGTGTGGCTATTTCCATAGAAAGGATGATGATAACAAATGTGTATTACGCATCGCGCTGAGGGGAATCCTCCCCTGACCTCAGCATCCACACCAGAGGGGATTATGGGATTGCTTGGTAGCCCTAGCAATGAGGCAGATATCCCTGGAGACAGGCATTAGTCATCACCTGGGCAAACAATCACCTAGGAGACTAAGGAGCTCATCGTGACATTGCAGTGGGAAATGGTGTCAGTGGTTTAGAAACGCCTTTCAGCTGTGAGTCAGTGGCATTGTTAGAGCAGAGGTATTCCCTGTGGCCCTGTGCACAGTTTAAACAAAGTATATCGCTTGTGGTTTTATGTAGATGGCTTTGAATATTGCTGCATTAGTTCTAACTGTTGGGGATGTGCCAATTAGTCTGCCACCAGTCATAATCATCCAATAATCAGCCAGATAATGAGTGACTGGCTGATTATAATTTTAATAAATCACGGATATGAGCAAATTTATGCCTGGCAGCAGTGCATGAGTAGTGTGGAGCCTAGTATAGGGCATGTCATGTGTTGCTTTGAATTTCACAGCTCATGACCATTTAGCCAGTCTACACCAACATATGGAAATATATGGCAGAGGCTGCTGCTGTATTTGAAAAAGACATTGATGTTGGTTTAGTCAATATGTGAGTAGGTTCTAAAGTCATGTAATTAAGGTTTGCACAAAATCTGATTTATTTAGGCGTGAATAGATGAGTTATGTCAGCACAGTACAATCTGTTATAGACCACACTTAGTAAATGAGGTTAATTTATTAATGCATGCTTAGTTTGTACTTTTATGAGAAGTGGTATGTAAAAATTCTGGGGAGGTTTGCATCGTTTTAGGCGGCAGTCAGATTGGCACTGTATCCTTCCTCTCATCTTTTGTCTGTTAAGAGAAAATCAGACATGCTGCATCGTACATTTTGACTCTTTAGCATAAGTGTCACTGTTCAGAATGATCACCAATGTTGCTTGACCAGTCAAATATCATCAGAATTTAAACTTTAAATTCTGCACTCAGACATTTTCTCTGTTTATAATACTGAATAAAATAGTGTCAACTGTGCATTGTCATATTCTAACTTTTGTCTCTTTCTCTTTCTCTTCATGTGCAGTTTCGACGTGGACAATGGCACGTCATCAGGTCGCAGCCCCCTGGACCCAATGGCCAGCCCGGGCTCAGGCCTCATCCTGCAGGCCAATTTTGTCCACAGCCAACGGAGAGAGTCGTTCCTCTACCGCTCCGACAGTGACTACGACCTCTCGCCCAAGTCTATGTCTCGAAACTCCTCCATTGCCAGTGACATGTGAGTGCATTATGTTCATTATGACCTTCGTAAATGAACCCAAGTGCTCCCTATTGTGCTGAATGCTGTTAGTTCTACTTTTTTCTGCCTCTCTGAATCTGTGTCATGGCTGGATGTTTATCAGACCAGGTCTTAAAGCTGCCATGCTGATCACTTTGGCCCTGGTTGGAAGTGTGCATGACCAACAGCTGACTGTGTAGTGTCACATCTATTCTTAGCCACATCCAGTAGCACAAATGCGATGGTCAGTGACAAAGTATCCACAAGCACAGTTCATGTGTCTCTGACATTTTTCCAAATTGTTGATTATGCCTGTATCACTCATAAGGTCAATGGAATGGATTTGTGCACTGCATTTAATCTGTTTAAGTTCTGAGTTCACTTGGTCATTTGTATTTTACAATACCAACTCCCCATCACCTTACAGCTGTAGAAAGGAACACTCAAATCAGCCAGCATCCTCTGGATCAGTGTATATGTTGATAGCCATTTCCCACACTATGGTGGCTATCCAGTTACAGTTACTGTACACTTAGTGCTGGAGGAAATAAAAATATTGACTAAAACCTGGCATTTCGATCCAGTCGACAGGAAAAGACAAGACAAATGAAAAATATGTCCTACAGTAACCTTAGACTTCCTCCTTACTGCTACTGCTTTTTGCTCTGTAGTATTACCCCAACCTCCATCGACCTACACCCACTATCTGGTTACCATGTTAACCATTGTTACAGTTAATCCTTTATGTCTCATTCTTATTCATATCTTTTTTTTCTGCTGAATTACATATACAAGATATAGCTAGTGGGAGGCAACTTGTCTTGACAGCTCTCCTTATGAAATTCTTAATAATGCATCTTAACAATCAAGTTAAACTTGTGAAAGATTAAATAGCATTTTTCGTAAAGTACTTAACAAAGAGGAAGATAGTCCAGAAATTTCTAAGAGGAAATTCAGTACAAGAAAACAGAGTTAGAGCAGCGTCTTTGTGTCCTAAAAGGTTTAAAAGTTAAGTAAAAGGTGAACATCTATCTATACAGTCATCTTTACTCTCAATACCTTCTGTTTGTCTTGCAATAGGAGACCTGGCAAGTCTGTGTCTCTTTTGACTTTCATGCCAGGCATGTCGGCTCACGTGCCAGTGGGTGTGTGAGTGACGTGGCTGTGGTCTAGTACAATGTAGCAGTAGGGGAGAAGCTTGATGACGCTAACACACTCCTGTCACCTGAGCAACTGTTGACAGTCTTGGCAGTCATAATGTAGCTCGGATGTCAGCAGGAATCTGACTCAAAGTTTACAGTTATAATTCCTTTAGCTAGAACGTAACTACTTTATGTGTATAGAGACATGTCCAACAATAAACCCCCTCAATCCTGTTAGTGAAACCAGAAACTGTTTTGAAACTACTACACATTGTGAAGTAGGGCCTCAGCTGTTAGCTGATGTGTTGAGTAAACATGTCACTGTGACTGAGTGCATCAGAGGCGCTGAAACTAATCTAATGTGATGACCCCCCACCCCAACCCAACCCACCCCACCCCACCACCCCACCCACACACACACACACACACACACACACACACACACACACACACACACACACACCCTGCTCCTCCCACCCCCTCCGCCCCTTTGACCTTTGCAGAGCATGAGCACACTGTTGTTGAATGTCATTGTACTATAGACCTGCATCTAACATTAAAGCCACTCTGTTTGTTTCTTCCAGTCATGGTGACGATATGATTGTAACACCATTTGCACAGGTGAGCGCTTGTGCCAGTTTTGTCGTCTTATCCTCATGTTTTATATTGCCATAAATTCATGATGCTGTATGATTCTTAATCTGTCATGTGCCCTTCAGGTTCTTGCCAGCTTGAGAACTGTACGAAACAACTTTGGTGCATTAACTAATCTACAGCAAGACAGAGCGTCCAATAAGTAAGTTTGTTTCAAATAGAAATAAAAAAACTTTCTTAGTTGGAGGAGAGAGTTTGTTACAGGCAACGATGATGCTAGCAATATCTGACCACAGACACTTGACTAAGATGTTTTACTAAATAAGTGCCAGTGATTTGGAGTCATTCCACCTGATGGAACTGTGTCCAGTGCTCGCTTACAGTTTGGCTTGGCTCGCCCTCTGCTGTTCTTATTGAGTACTACAACAACAGTAGTATATATATATGTATATATGTGTAAAGGTATGGTGCTCCTTAATATTTGTAGAAATGAGCAAAAAGAAATGGTGCTTCCTAACTGCTTAGAGTCATTTGGAGAGTTTTAATGAATATGTTTAGTAAACTACTGATTGTATTGTTTTGGGAAAGGAAACGTCTCAGTGTGTGTGTGTTTGTTTCACCCTTGACAGGAGATCACCCATGTGTAACCCACCACCTATCACCAAGACCACCTTCACAGGTATGTGGACAGTGAGGGGGGATGATAACTTGTGTCTCCTGTGTGTGTGTTTGTGTGTGTGTGTGTGTGTGTGTGTGTGTGTGTGTGTGTGTGTGTGTGTGTGTGTGTGTGAGATTTGATGTGTGGTCTGATAATCAGGAACAGTTTTTGCCATACAAAATGTAAATATTATCAGTAGAGGTAACACTGTTACTGATGTTTATCATTTATAAGTAGCATCCAAACATTTAATAAAGGGTTCATTACACACTACGATGGGGTTGTAAGCAGATTTACAGTAAGCGATTATTGAAATATTTTTCAACAACTATAACTCCTTCTTTGGGCACCAATAAATGGAGACTGGAGTATAAAACAAAGTTGTAATAATGTCAAATATGTCTCCACAGGAGAAGTTATAACTGTTGAAAAATACTGTTTGTCAATAAACACTTAAAAATGTTCTTATATCTGCTTACAGTTGCATTATAGTGTTACAAAACGTTCATTAAATGTTTATATATTGCTCATAAATGCTAAATAGGAAGACTTAAGGTGTTATTGCATGAGCAGAATTGGTAGTGGTAGTAGTAGTATGCACTTACCAACTTACAACTGGAAGCTAAATAGATAAAAACTGATATAACAGTGTTGTAACTGTGATGTTTTTGTCTATTGTAAGATATTATCATGGTGCTGGCAAACACAGGCATACTGTGCAGGGAGCCAAAGAACATGATCATAATATCCAACATGGTCAGAATAAAAATATGGATGACATATTTTGCAGAGGATGAGTTCATTTGAGCAAATTAATGGACAAGAGATAAAAAGGACAGTAGAACTAGTAAACGAAGACCCAATATTTTCCTGTTGTTCGCTGTTGTTTTAGCATTTTCTGTAAAGTTTGGATAAGTTCGGCTCTTTGTGGCTTCTGTTGTACAGCCAGGGTGCTGTCTTCAGTCGGTTCCTGAAAAGCAACAGTTACAGTTTGACAAGACAGGTGAACATATACTCACATACTGTCTGCTCTTATCTAGTCCGTTGCAAGCTAACAGTCATATCCACCCGTTGTATATTGATCATTACAGACAGTTTGTCGACCACCAGATCTTTATGTTCTTAATCAGTTTTTTTCTTGAATTATTATTCCAATTTTATTCATATAAAATTTTCAGAAACCAGTTCCTGTACTTTATATTAGATCTGTAAGGGTGTGGTGATGGAGACAAGCCAAAGAATCTTTGAAAAGATGCTCAAGTGTTAAGTTTTGGTTTACACAATACAGCCGCCAATGGAGTGCCATGAGGCTGCTATGTTTTACCAGTTTATCCATAACCATAGATTTATCAATACTTCAGTATACAGTCATACCTGACTTTGATAGTCTGATGTGCTGTAAAGCACGAGACAGACACCGTCTACCGCACAGCCTGTCTGGCCTACTTTAAGGTGAGTTTTTGTTCATAGGAGGACATGGCACAGACAGTCTTAGATGGCAATAATAGACTTGTCCTTGACAGTCACTTTGCTCTTTAGCAGTATCAATGGCTGTAACCTAGCTGGTGTTTGCAGGAGAGACCATATAACCTTCACCATTGATAAATAATTTCACTGTTTTGTTTAGTAAATTGATCCCTATGACACTTGCTCAGATACACATAGAGTCACATACAACACACACATTCATGCACATTGTAAATGAGGGTAAAAACGTTTTTTTTATTATTATTAAGTGCACAAAAATGAAAATACTCAAATATTAACAGAGCAAAATTTGCTTTTTTCCATGTTTAAGGGAGATCTTTCCAGCCAGTCATCCCCAGGAATCACATTCCTGATGCATAACCTGCTTATATATGAGGGACTGGTGACATTTAGCTAAATTTAGAACATAATCACACTGGTGCACAGCCATTATGAGCCCTGCCATAAACTGGTGACAGCTGTGAGTCATGAAACATGATTGTTTGAGAATATTGACTACTTGAAATGCAAAGAGTTACTGAGGCAGCGAATAAGTCACCATGCAGAGAAAGACAATAAAGGAAGTATAATTAATAGTAACTCAGTCAAAAGTGGGATTATATTTAGGCTTCCTGGCTCTTTCTCTGCTTTTCAAAGCATTTTTCTGTGATCTGTCTCTAACTTACTGTTGAGATAAAGAAAATTATTTTAGACTCTTCTCAGATGTAAAAAAAAAAAATTACCAGTAATTCTGTGTGACCCTTCACCTACCGTGGATGAAAATAGATAGAGAGGGAGACTTTGATTCATAGCAAACTATGCTCTAGACTTTCACGTTACATATACAGACAATATTCTTTTGTAACATTTAACATCCCATATACTCAGTCCAAAATGTTGTTACAGTTTTTCATACCTTTGGTTTGTAATCTGGATATAAAGTTAATTATAATGTGAGTGAGGCCACAACTCTAAATCACGCTTTCTTTTCCTCTCTCCTTGGTCCCGTGCATGGAAAAAAGAGGGTTTGAGGTACTTACTCATATCAGGTCTCAAATGAATATGACATTTTATTTAAATGGACATCTTAAGTAGGATTTAACATGATGGATAATTATTTTTCTTTCCATATGGGGCAGACAGGACATGCTAAAGATGAATATTTGCCAATATCGTCCTTTTCCCTTTTTAGAGGAATACTGAGGAACAAAAAGCCATAGTGTCCGTGAACACAAGACCAGAATGGAAGTAATCTGAGGAAATATAAACAAAGAAAAGCATTACAAAAAAATAGTTATTAATTGATTCCAACATCTCAAATTTAAGTTTTTTTTTTACCTTTTGTGGGTTGAATATCATCACCTTGAGCTCTGGGAACTTGTGATCGGCATTTGTCACTATTTTCCAATATTTTATTTACCAAGTAATTACCCATTACCCATCATTATTAAGTAAATTATAATGAAAATAATTGTTCAATTCTGTTACAATTTATAGATATTTTACAGCTTTGTTTTATAAAAGTATAACTAGTTGCTATTTGATTATTCTAGGCTCTCCGTCCTCCTCCTCTTCCTCCTCCTCTCGCATCTTCTCCCGCTCACAGTCCGACTTCACTGTCGAGCTGTTCCGGTACATAGTTTGGCTGCAGCCCTGCGTCTGTGCAGCAGAGTGGCCTCTCCGAGCGCCGGTGTCTGATGTCGCACTAAGCATGAGAAGAATGTCATTGACGTCAGTGCAGTTGCTGTCAGAAAGAGTAGCACCCCAGCCACTGACACCACACCAGGGAGAGAGACAGAGGGAGAAAGGGAGACTGAGAGAAAGAAAGAGGGGAGAGACAGAAAGGAGACAAAAGAGGGAGGAGGAAGGATGTTCAGAGATCAGTGGAGGAAACGAAGAGTGTGGGAGAGGAAGGGAACTAATGGAAGGAGGGAGGGAGAGATTTGTCAAAGACAATGAAGCAAGAGAGGAGGGGGGGGGGTATTGTTGAAAATAAGAGGTGACAAAAGTGGTTTAGAGATGGTTAGCTGTCAAGTCTCTACAGTAGGTTGACCTGCATGGAAACAAAAATGTTATGCATGTTTCCAAACCTAGTATACAACATATTATAATTGATCCTTCCGAATTGTGATAACCCTTTGAAATATTCAGGAGCTAAAGAACGACTCATACAACCCAGAGCTGTAAACTATCCATCAGTAAAATGTCCCAGAATGAAAGATAAGTGAAAAAAATTTTCTCATTTAAACTTAAATGTAGACAGCACAGCATTTTTCCAAAGGGGCTTTAAGACAATCTAAATGCTGATATGATAAGGCATCATGCAAATAAATTTGGTTTGGTTTTATTTTAATCTGCTACTACTGTTTTCTCTCTGTGTGATTTAATTACAGCTAAAGTGAGCCCCCCCCCCGCCCTTTCTCCCCTCTCCCCTCCCCGATCACATAGCATTAAAAGCCTGTGCTTTCCCAAATTAGTCAAGGCATCAATATTAATTGGCTTCTGACAAGGTGACATTTTCTGTTAACATAGGCTGACTTTGAGAGAGGCATGTCTTCAATTTCAAATTAAAAGAAAGTGAAGGATACTCCGAGGTGGGGCTTGTGATGCTCAAGCTCTGCCATCTTTACCGTATCGCCGGCCATCTATTTGTTTACCTGTCTGTTTTGGTGTATTTGTATGCTGAACACATATTAGCATGCATACACACACAGTATAGGGAGCTCGCAGCTCTGGCTCCCCTCCTGTATCACTCCATTCCATATCTTGTCACTCTCCCTTCCCCATCCACAGTGCAGTCCTCTCAGGCTTTAGGTACAGCTTGGGGAGAGCAGCACGTTTGGCTACCAGGGACGCCGAAGCAACAGCAGCCCACCCCCTATACACACAGCATCTATAGGAAACACTACCCAGCACACACACAGCACCGGATTATACCATTTGCTTCCCGGATACCATGGATGTTTTTATTAGCAGAAAGGCTAAGGAGACAAAATCATGATGTGTTATGGTTAGCATTTCCTCTGGTGTGAGTGTGTATGCATGTGTGTGTCTTGTTTGCGTTTGTGTGTGTGTGTGTGTGTGTGTGTGTGTGTGTGTGTGAGAGAGAGAGAGGGATGTCTTTGTATCTGTTAACCATGTGAGGATGCTGTGAACAATCTCGTGTGTGTTCCGTACTGGACAGTATTGACATGGATCTTGACTGTTTCTGAACCTCTCACTGGATCCTCTTTTCCACCGTCCCTGTCTTCCCTCCATCCCTCCTATGGCAGACATGGGCCTGCTAAGCAGACTGCTGTTCATCCTGCTACATGACTGGAATTACACCTCTCTTATGAATGATAGAGTAAACCTCATACACCAAGATCACTGAGTGTGATATGTGTGCTATGTATGGGTGATAATGTGCGAGTCTGTCTGTGTGAGTCTGTCTGTGGGAGATTTCAGTTTTTTGCTCTGTGGGATACCTCTGTATTCTCTGCTGTGGTTCTCTTACTGTTAACATTCGTTTGGACTCACAGAACTAACTTGGGGTGGCTGTTTTTGACATCTATCACCTGCAACTGTACTCCCTGGGATGGTGTGAGACTTACTCTTGAAAGGAGGAATCCAGGATTTGAACTTTAGCACTGCACTGGAGGTTTCTTTTCTCCAAGGGAATCAGTGAGATTTTCTACACCTGACCTGTGACTGCTCATCTTTGGGTTAGGCTACAGGACAACAAGGCCCTACTCCCAGGCCCGCACAGCTGGCCCACCTGTCCAGTATGAAGAGTCACCCATGTGTCTACTCGGGGTATCCCAGCTTAGCTGTTTGTGGGGTGGGAGACCCCGGGCCTGGACCGTCCACTAGCCCTCTGAAGCGGGCCCTAACTGACCCCTTGCCCTCCTGTCTTGCCCCTGCAGAGGAGGCCTACCAGAAACTGGCCACTGAGACCCTGGAGGAGCTGGACTGGTGCCTGGACCAGTTGGAGACGCTGCAGACAAGACACTCAGTCAGCGAGATGGCCTCCAACAAGGTAAGAAAAGTTTACACCAACTTGTTTAGACAAAGTTTCATTGTTGAGTTTTGTTTTTTTTTTTAGACTTAAAATGCACAGTTGTAGGAATACACTACATGTGTTATTTCATGAAACATGCGGAAGCTGCTACCCAGGACATGCTATCGAGTTTCGATTTTGTGACACATATAGTATATATTAAGTGCCATGCAAGAGATGCATATGATGCACAGTGTTAATACTGATCTTTATTTCTGGTGGATAACTTCAGATAAAGGAGGTTATTTTTCTAATAAATTGTTCATGAATGCAGCATTTTAGCAGACTTTTTAAATCAATCCACACCTCCAACTGCATTTCCATACATCCCTATGAATGAAGTAACATAAAAATGCTAAGTATTCTTTTTAAATTCTACAATTCTCCTTTATACTATATACTATATGGTCACTCAGTGGCAGAGAATTTCTGTTTATTGCTCAAGCTGATGTGCAGCACTATCCTGCAAAAACTACTAGGAACAGCTAGATCAAACACATTATACATTATTGATTTGATTGATTTTAATGTGTACAGTATAATCTGTGTGTGGCCTGCCCCTTTGCAATCAAACCTCTCTTCTTGTTCATTTGCCAAGTGTTTATCAACCCATAGTAGTTGCTATTTGAGCCCGAGGAGCAAGAATTTGGATGAGCTGTGTATATAATGTGCTTTGACACCTTTCCAGCACTCAGCCATCAAAGCGCACATTGGACTGTTTGTGTTGTATTGTCTGTGTGTGTTAGTGATAGCATCGTCATGCAGGCAGGGAGATGTGCTGTGAGCATGCTCAGTCGCCTCCAGTGCGTGCGTGTGTGTGTGTGTGTGTGTGTGTGTGTGTGTGTGTGTGTGTGTGTGAGAGAGTGAGTGAGTGAGTGTGTGTGTGTGTGTGTGTGTGTGTGTGTGTGTGGAGGGAAGCTGCTGTGCCGCTCTGAATGCTGATCAGCTCTGGTGATGTCACACACTGTGATGTCACAAGAGAGGGGATGGACCAAGAAGAGGAGAGACAGGGAGGACAGACAGACAAAGGAATTACACAAATGCACCCACTCACCGCTGATGTTTCCACAATCTCATGCATGACCGGGACGTCTACCTCCGTTTAAAAGTGAAAAGATTTTTTTTTTAAAAAAGGAAACCTGTATCATGCCCTGCCTCACCATTGCTCACCAGCACAGCTATCTCTGGTTGTCATGGCAACAGCCACAGGCCCAACCAACCTGCTATCTCACTCCAGCAACATACACACACACTCACACACATCAAGTAATACAGTCACTACATCTCCCACACATAGCCATTACTTTGTGTCTGTATCCTGCAGACTTTCATTTATCAGCACTCAGCATAAGCCTCAATTCATCAATGAAGGAAAGTCTGAGATTAAAAAGAAACAATAAAATGGAATTCCCTTGAAGTAAATTGAATAAAATTCTGGCAATTTCCAGACATGTGAAAACAACCATCTATACTAGTGCTTTAGTAATGTCCTTTAGCAGTGACCCCAATCAGATTTGCATGTAACCTTAACGTATCTCACCACTGAATATCAGCATTCTCAGACTCACTCTCACTCCAGGGGCTGCTGCGACAGTAGGTTAAGCAAGGTGACATACCTGTTTGCCCTAAAGAATCTCACACCAAGGAGATAACATGGTCACTGTGATTATTGTTGTCGCAGCAGCAATGCAACTGAAATACACACTGTACAAGCAAATAATTATTTTCAATTCACTATGCTACATTTCACTAAGTTAAACATTTTGTTCAGATAGTATTGATGCTCCAAAACTAATAAATGTAATTTTGACAGATTCTTTGAGATGAACGCACCTCTCTTGAACTGAGCACTTGGTGGTTTATCTAGTTTAGGATGCTCCTGTGGTTACATTTCCACCCTTTGTGTGGATGTAGGTGTTCTTGGAATCAGCAGCTGGTCTTCTTCTGGTTCAGCTTTAGGAACAGTGTATGCCAGTCAAGTTTGAGCTTCATGCCTCTTTGTGGTATGACCATTTTCTGGGGTGACATTGGAGGACAAAGGATTTGAGATCATTGGCACTATGTGGTTTTTTTTTTTTTTTTTTACCTCAGGCCAGCTCCAGGCTTGAAGTAGTTCGTACGCAGTGTTGTTTTACACTCACCACATACTGTGCAACCTGGCTAAAACTTTAATGCTAGAGATGAGTGTCTGTGTGTGTCTGCTGCAACATTTTAGATGTTTCGATTATCCCACTTTTTGGCACAAATGCTATGGTTCCCCACCACACAGATCCGTCTCTCTCACAACAATTTACATCATTCGCTGATGATGCAGATCGATTTGATGACTCAGTTTATTCTTGCCAGTCCTTAAGGACATACTCCTGAACTTGAGACCACACCATATATTTTGCAGTCCAGTGTGTGATGTGTGCTATATCCACTAGTGAGTCACCCAGGACATCCATCATCAATACTTGTTCTCTTTGTTTTCTTTGACTTTTTTCAGGTACACAAGCCTGTTCAATGCATCTACTGATCAGCTCATGATCAGTACAAATGATGAAATTTGACACCCATAGAAAAGCTTGTGGAATTTCTTAATGCAAGACATGAGCAGACATTTTTAATCTGCTGTTTTTTAGCAGGTGACATGATATGGAAAGCAAACCATTTTTCATTAAATGCAACAGCACTATTCTGATGCCACGCAATGCCATACATCACAGGCTCTTTAACAGAAGAGTAATGCACTAGCACCTCAGCTGGTTGTAACAGTGCTTTTGATTTCTGAAATGCCTGTTTGTAATGTTTTCTTGCAAAAGGGTAGTAGCTCATTGCAAGGGGGCAATAGATTAATAAAACTTTGTTGTAGTAGTTTAGCATCCCCAAAAACTGTATGATCTGATTTACATCTGTTGGTGGAAGGGGCTTCCATGAAGGCGTTCACTTTTTATGAATGAGGTGTGGCATCTTGGCATCTAATCCATAACCCAAATATTTTACTTCATCCTGAATGAAGTTGCACTTTATTTTGTTATTATTTTTCATGCAGATCAAAGGGTACTAAAGTGAAGTAGTTGTGAATACCAGCACTCCAAAAAGCAAGACACTTTGTAGTGGCTCTCTAGTTTTGTAGGTGTTTTTTGTGCTCAGGTTTTGATAATGCTTTTCGGTTTACAGCTACATCCTCACAAGTTAGATTCACTCCAGCCAGGAGACAGCCATCATTCAGTTACGAACTTGTTAGTCTTACACATGCAGGTCGAAGTCATTATTCAGTAACTGAGCAAGTCGCAGGACGGTTTTATCATTTGGATTTTCCGAACTGAAAAACTTTCTCAATAGGCTGTATGTCAGTTCCCCTACTATACTAATCAGAATGGCACTTGTCAGCTTTATCAATTCATCTTTGCATCTCTGTGTCTTTTTGTTATTATTAGTTTTTTGTTTATATATCACACTGGTGTCTTACCCCTTATCATTACTGTTGAGCTGTTTATGATGTTACCTTCCTACATATAGGTTTCCTTATTCACATTTTGTTTAGATCATGAATGGACAGCAGTACATTCATTGAAAACAGTCGGCAGCAATTAGTGTTCCTGCTCTCTGTGTTCTGTAGAGAGGGGGCGTCTGCCACCAGAATAGATGTGCAATGTGAGAAAAGAAACAAATGCAACAGAGATCTGGAGGTGTCATGGGCTATATACAACAGGGAACAGATATTTTTGGTCACTCCGCCAAAGAAGAAATTACACAGCTAAGCTTGGTGTGACACTTTCCAATTTTTACCCAATAGTTTGTGTTCACACCTCTTGGCTAAGCTATCAATATGTGTGTGTATTTGTGTGACCGAGAGAGGGAGTTTGTGTGGACAGGAGGGGTGTCTGTAGGCGTTATATTTGTGTATATGCTCCCGCAGGGAGTAAACCGCATGTGTGTGAGTATGTGAGTGTGTGTGTGGTGGGCCTGTGTTGGCCTGCTTGGCTCTGAGTGAATCAAAGCCGCTGGATCTCAGTTAGCTACTGGCCTCATCTGCTCCAGCGTAGCTGTAAATTACTCACAGTGCCAGGCTGGCTGTAGAGGTGGGGTGTAAAGTAAGCAGAGACACATTTGGTCCCTTTTCAATCTGTGAAGCCACTGGACCATCACATACACACTCACACATGCATCGGGACAAAGACGAAAGAGACAGAGTTCATAGACTGAAGAAGCCACCCATGATCAACAAGATTCACATATCAAAATTAAACAATGTTTTCTGTATAGAATTGAAAGCTGTCAATCACGGATGTTAGCTTCTCACAAATGTTGTCTAAAAACAGGTTAACATTTATACCTTATGTTGCCCCATCATTAAGCAGTTAAACCCAGTGTATCAAAAATGTTTTATGCTTTATTTTATTCCGTTGCTTTCTGAATTTCTTTTAGATTGACTTCCTTATTCATCTGTGAAGTTGCACTGTCAAAGCTTCCAGACGACCTCCAATTTCCAAAATAAGTGACACCAGATTTTGGTACCAATTCCAAAATGATACATTTTTTTTAAAATATGAGCTGGTGTCTCTACTAAAACCTTTTTTTCATTTCAAAAAAGAAGTTCTCAGGTTAAATGTTGTCTAAAACACTGTCTAAAATAAGTAATGAAATTGTCTTCAACTGCCAAACCTTTGATTTAAATCAGGAACTATTTGATCAAAGAATAAATAAACAAGATTATGGACTTTGACGACCTATGAAGTGCTTTCAGCTACTATGTTGCATTTGTAAACTTTTCTGATTTCTCAGTCTCATACTAAGTCTAATAATTATGTGTGGATATCTGTGGTTTGTGTGTGTGTGTGTGTATGTGTGTGTGTGCGTGCGTGCGTGCGTGTGTGTGTGTGTGTGATGGTTCTCAAGTCACATTCTCAGTCTCAGATATTTTTACGTTTTATAATCTGACGTTTTTATGACCCTTATAATGATTTGTATGAATTTATTTTTATTGTCAGTCGTCTGATTTGATGGGTTTTGTTTACTATTTGCTGTTAAGGTGGTTATATGTAAGTTCTGACTTTAATAAATTTTTATCCTCTTGAAAAAAGCGATATCTCTGGCAATACCTAATCAAAATAAATTAAATTAAATTTAAATATCAGATAGTTAAATCTAGTTAAATCTTGAATTTGTAGTGATAGATGCGGCTGCTTTCACTGTCATGAAATTATTTTAAGAGGACCATCTGTGCTGTTACTGATGGCAAAATTAGAACTGCTCATTCAATAAGGTTTGATCCTTGTTTTCAACTAAAGCGACAACCCCCTGAGCTCAGTGACACACACAGCAACCTGTGTGGACACAATGCTGTTAGTTTCTTTCCAACTGAGCCCACTTAACATGACTGTGTCGCTCATTCTTTTTGCAAGATTAATGGGTTTTTCATGTGCTTACATGATCTCAACAGTGATGTTACTGTGACTCACCCCCCATGAATACTGGGGTAAACGCTGATCCATGTTGGATGAGGTAACCTGTGCCTCACCATCATCCTCCTAATACAAAGGATTAGGTCAGTCATCACGTAAACACATACACACCTACTGTCACATGTAATATATCCTGCATTCACACAAACAAGCGTGCACTTTATGCACTCACACATGCACACACAAAAATCACATCCCGCTGCACTGCAGGAATTGACGGAAAGGGAAGGGGGAGATTTTCCACTGACTTCAGACCCAGCCAATCACACAGCAGGTGACCTCAAGTCTGATCCAATCCAAGCCAATCAGAGGTGATGATGAGCTCACACTTCTTCCATATCTGGGCCCTGATTTGCTGCTGTTGTGTGACACTGCGATAGAAGCAGCCTGTGCTCTTCACATGGGAGCTTGTGTCATACACAGAAGCAGGCAGGCAGTCAGGCAGCCAGCCCTGTTTGGGAGCTGTTGATAGAAAAATTTTTGCTGTCCTGGTGCTTTGGCATCTACCAAGTATCCGCACCATCATCAATTATTCACAACCTCAGCAGTGTGTCCCTGTATCCAAGTGTATGTGTGTGTGTGAGTGTGTGTGCATATGTCAGTGTGTACACAGTGTGTGTGGTCACGATATGCTCTCATCGGATCTTTGGGGAGCCACTTTCCCACGACTCCTCTCAGAATCTGCTTCTCCTCTCAGCTTCCTGGGACATGGGCTCGTTTCTGTGGATACTCGCAGGGCAGGAACATGATGCTTCATTCATGGACTCCACAGCGACTTTACAGCTGATATACCTTGAAGTGAGCTCGGAAGGCTCGTCAGGTTGAGGTTTTTCACTGGCCAGAGCTGCGGACTGTTTTTATTTTCCTAGTTGTCTCACGCTTTCATCATCTAAACTATATTTTGGGCCATAAACCTGTACTTCTGTTCTTGGATTTTATTTGTTGATTTGTCAAAATGCCTGAAGCAAATTATCTGCTTTCTGTGTCGTGGGGATATATAAAGGTAAGATATGGTTTCACATTTGTGATTTTTGATTTTTAATTCATTATCCAGGTGATTTCTTCTTCAACTGTTTGAATGTGGCTGTTGAAATTCATTTCCAGAGAGTGGAAGTGTTTTTTGTAACTGAGGTGTATAATTGACACAGATTTGGATGACCACAAATAGAAAGTACATACTGTATATAGATTCTCGCCAGCATGTCGCCCATGGAACAGTGCTTCGTAGGTGTGACATTCCTGGCTCCATTATTCATTTTGATGAATCTATGATGGGGGAGAGCTGATGGTGCCTGCACTGTACTTAGAATGATGTAGACATGGCTGGTTGTGCTGCACAGAAAAACATACGTAGTTACATTTTTAAGTGGGTTTAGATTTAAAATCACAGACATTTTCACTACTCCTGTAAATCGTTATACTTGTCGGTCATTTAAGGTTTTTTTAATTCCTCAAAGGGTCTCTTAGATGGAATAAAACAGAAACTCTTATAGCTCTGACTTTATCAGATCAACAATCCTCTGAGTAGTTGGGTTGCTCTATATTTTTTATGTAAAGGGATTTTTTCAGGTTGGCCACAAATCTAAATTTAAAAAAGCTTATTTCACTGTCTCTCATTTGTTTTAATGAATATGTTTCATGAAAGTACAGCTCTACCTGACATGTGTTTGTCACTTGTCTACTGTACTGGCTCTTATTACCTGACAAAAGCACACTACAGAAGGCTCTTTGCCTCTTGTGTCTCCATTTTAAACAGCCACCCAGTGAACACCCGTGGGTGTTATTCAATGGGATGTCAATACACAATTGCGCAGTAAGCACTCTGCAGTGTTGTAATGGTCTATTTTAAGTGATCAGTATTGATTTATATAATTAATCAATAGACATACATTATTCATTTGGACCGAAGCCAGAATGATTCAGACAATGCAGAGGCTTTGTTCAAGAGGTTTTTGTTTTGCAATCTGTTTTGTAACTCTGTTGTTTTGCAACCACTTTGGAAAATCCCTGATTTGAAGCGTTCTCCTCCACATCAATCAGCTGGGTCTTCAAATCAAAAGCCAGAGCTAAATTTGGGTCTGCCACTCCAATTAGGCACAGGAGAGAGGGAAGAGAGAATGAGGTGAGGGAGAGAGGGAGAGGCAGAGGGAGGCAGGCGGTGTGTCAGAGAAAAACTGAAATTGAAAGAGAGAAACTGGGAAAATGGGTCACTGATTACCACATTTCTGGCAGTGGCCCTCTGACCTGCTGTGTGTATGTGTGTTGCACCAGAAACGGTGACTTTCCTGGGTACAGCTTCTGTGATGTGACTGGAAATTTCAAGAATCTCTTAGTAATAGGCCCCAGCCAGCAGGACAGTCTGTGCTGATAAAATCATTTGATGTCTTCACTGATGGCATGAAATTTATTTTTGATAAAATTGAAGCTTCAATATTAACTGCCTCACAGTGTTTGTTTTTTGCCTCAAACATTCTTAGTGAACATTTATAGTCAAATGAGCGTTTTAGCTCTTGAATTGAGTTTGCACTTTGTCTTTATTTGAATATGATTTATTTAATGATTTATTCATACATCCATATACATACATTGTGCCTCTGAGTACCAGCTGTAAAAACAAGTCATTTTGATTTTTCTGCCCTGCATTGCACACCGTTAAACCCAGCATCTGTGTGTGTGTGTCCCTTTTCCAGTTCAAGAGGATGTTGAACAGGGAGCTGACTCACCTATCAGAGATGAGCCGCTCTGGGAACCAGGTGTCTGAGTTCATCTCCAGCACCTTCCTGGGTGAGTGATGACACAGGAAGATAGACTCACTGCTTTGGAATAAATCAATGAAAAATACCCATCCTGTTGGAGCAGTGAGAATTAACATGATGACAGCCTTCAGAGAGTGTCTGTTCTGTATATGGCCAAACACATGCAGTATACATCACTTTTCTAAGATCCTGTTAAAAGTGCCAGAACTATGAATCTCATAAACACAGTAAAAGTTTTCTATTTCTAAAATCAGGATATGGTTGTACCATGATATCAAATCAAACACGATTTACATAAAGAAAACCAGGTGTCTGTCTGATTGAACCACTCCAACAAAAGACTTCATCATCCTCATATTTAATTTCCACTTATGTTTCACTCCAGACAAGCAACATGAAGTGGAGATGCCATCCCCTCAGACACAGAAAGAGAAGGAGAAGAAGAACAAGCCCATGTCTCAGATCAGCGGGGTGAAAAAGCTGCAACACTCCTCCAGCCTCACAAACTCCAATATCCCTCGCTTTGGAGTCAAGACGGAGACCGAGGATGAACTCGCTAAGGTGTGTTTGTCTGCCATGACAAACGGTGTATACACAGACTATGCAGCAAACAGAAAAATTATACATTCACACAAATACAATCTGAAATGTTCTTTAGGGAAGAGGAAAAAGAGGGAATTTAATGAAAAAGGATGTTTTGTTTCTAATTGTATCTCTAATTCCTTTTTCAGGAGCTGGAGCATGTGAATAAATGGGGCCTTAACGTTTTTAAAATCTCAGAGTTCTCTGGGAATCGGCCGCTGACAGTCATGATGTACACAATATTCCAGGTAATGATCATCACATCTTCTGTGTGTATTGATCTTTAACTCCAAACATTACATTGTTGACCATAAACTCCCTTTTCTATGTTCTGGTTTGTAGGAGAGGGACTTGTTAAAAACTTTTAAAATTCCACTTGACACCTTTATAACATACCTGATGACCTTAGAAGACCATTATCATGGCGACGTGGCCTACCATAACAACATTCATGCTGCTGACGTCACCCAGTCAACTCACGTGCTGCTATCCACCCCCGCCCTCGAGGTGAGTCGCATGTGCACACTGACATATACACATGCACACAAACACACAGCCCATGCCTCCACAATCAGCTTCAATCAAACGCTTGCTCAAAGTCCAATCAATGGCTCTTACTGCCAAGGATATTTTTGTCCAACGATTTGATTCTCTCATCAATGCCCTCCCTCCTCCCCTCTGCATTTGGCTCTTTTCTTCTAGGCTGTGTTCACAGACCTTGAGATCTTAGCTGCCATCTTCGCCAGTGCAATTCACGACGTCGACCATCCTGGAGTCTCGAACCAGTTCCTCATCAACACCAGTGAGTCTAAATATGGTGCCGTTTTGGCAGCTACGTCAGTGGCTCAGCAGTGTTATTAGTGCATATTCACAAACACGAACACACACTCGCAGTCTGATAAGCAGGTGGGAACATGCACGCTGTATCCTCTGCTTCACTAGCACACACACATACACTCAGTAGCATTCAGCAGACAATGAGCCTTTCTCACATAAATGAGATTTCATATATAAACCAAACTCTGAAGCGTATTTGCATGGATGGCTAACATGTTCAAAACAGCACACAGGCACATCTTCACTGGCATGTGTATTTTTTTAGTCACATGTGACGGCTTTGACATGTGATTCCAAGACAGACGAGTTCAAAGAGGAGATCAATATTGTTCTTAATAGTGCCCTTTCCCTGTAACACAACATCATTCAGGCCAACTTGTTGTCAGACAGAAAGAGAAAAACATCCTCCCAAAGACATAAATGTAGTGGGCTACATCGGGGAAACATAGGGAAACTTTTATTTGACATCTTGTGTGGTATAAATGCTGTTGTTGGGGTAATACAGTGGGATAGTAGTTGAGCCACAAAAAATACAAAATTTACGAGTAAATGAATCATGATTTCCCATTTTCCTGTAAAGGTATTTAACCATGCAGACAGCTGCAGATAGTTTTGGTTGTGAGGTGACCATTGCTGCAATTTCTGTCTCCACCCTTTTACAGTTAGCTTGCTGACCTCACTGAAATTTTTTCACTTTTAACCATTTACTGTTTGGGAGTGGGTGTTATTTTGCCCTGACCAATCAACAGTGATAGCACAGTTAGTTTGTTGATCAAAAAAAAATATGTCATCATATCTCATCCATGGCTATTGATCACATCCATGACATTTTTGTGGCAGGAAAAACAGCACAGATGTGTGCTTTGTGATGTCATCTGTCTTGCTTCGGCTCAAGAAGATGACATTACCATTTTTTAGTCTCACCCACAAATCAGTCTGGCTCAGTTGCTTTTCCAACTGTGAATCGGCAAAGACTGAGCACATCACCAGACCTATGTGAATTGCGGAAACAGTAAAATAGTGGGTGGCACTTCAAAGGTCTACAGTCAGGAGTGGAGGTGAATTTCATCCATGGTTTTCACTTTATTTAAAAAAAAAAATCAGCAGAAGCATCTCTTTCTAGAATCAGTGGCCATGTTACTCTAGATTAGCCCCAGACCTCACAAACCAATCATAGTGGTGGAAGTGGTTGAACTGAGCCTTTAACTAGACTAACAGGATTTACGGTGTTGTGTTGGTAACTGAAGTGTCCTCAAGCAAGAGAGTGAATCCCTGCTACATCTGCTTTAACTGAGTCACTCATTCATGGCTGGAAGTGCTACAAATATCGCCTTAATTTGGCAATTTAGAGGAAAATCCAAACAAATAGAGTTTATATCCACTGGGTATCTCCTTAAACAGCCATTCTGTAGACCATTACAAATGTGAGTGTTGCATAAGAGTATTAGTAATACCTTATCAGAACAGAAAAGACACTCCACAGTCTGACACACTTAACACACAAAATGTGTTGTGCTTCCCATAAGCCCAAATGGGGAATCCCTGCAGTACGGGCAGTGTGAGTCATCCTAGTTAGGAGCAACCAGACTGATCTTCTGTCAGCCGCAGAGCAACAGAGCAGGATCCCCTTTCTCCTCTCTGCTGCTCTGATCCACAGTGGCCAAGACTAATGCATCTTAATGGAAAATCTAAATACAGCTAGAAGACCTTCAAATGACCCGGAGTGGGGAAACCTCCCAGCGGAAAACATGCTGGTGCTTTCTCCTGCAAGGGATGGATGCTGCATGTGTTAACTGCAGACTATTAGCAGAGAGACATGTACCTCTAACTAGCACCTAATGTTGAAAATATGTACCTTGTTGCATATGTATTGCCATACAAAATAACCAGGGCAAAATAATTCCAAATATCTTGATGCATAAATTCTGTTCATATCTTTTTATCCATTTCGAATTTTGACCCCATTTGATTTTTAAATACCTTGTGTCTTTCTTGCAGATTCAGAGCTAGCACTGATGTACAATGACTCGTCTGTGTTGGAGAACCATCATCTAGCAGTTGGTTTCAAGCTCCTACAAGAGGAGAACTGTGACATCTTCCAAAACTTGACCAAAAAACAAAGACAATCACTGCGAAAGATGGTCATTGACATCGTAAGTGAAAAGATTTACATCTCTTTTATTAAGTTTATACTAACAGATATATTATACAGGTCATTATATAGCCTACATTAAACACTTTTTTTTTTAAATATTACATTTCATTTGATAAGAAATACTCCCTGTGTGTTTTAGACTGAATACTAATGGCTTGTTTCTGGGTGTCCTAAGGTGCTAGCAACAGACATGTCGAAGCACATGAATCTACTGGCTGATCTGAAAACTATGGTGGAAACCAAGAAGGTGACCAGCTCTGGTGTCCTGTTGCTGGATAACTACTCTGACAGGATACAGGTCAGAATAACAACAAGATTCATATCATTATGTTTTTGACTTTTATGTACATCAAAAATAATTGTTTGCTCCTCTTGAAGATTCTGCAACACTTGTGCTTCTGAGTGGTTTTCACCAGGTCATGTGACACAGTAATATGAGAGCTTCCTCCATTTTGGACCCCCTCAATACTTTCAAAGTTCTGGTTTCAATTGGTCTAAGGAACAAATTTGTTGCATCAAAGTTCATCCTGATATTTTGCTGTTGTAAATGATGCTGTGACCAAACCCTTACGCTTCAGCCTACCCTCTATCATGGAACATATGTCACTGTATTTTTGACCTTTGTTGTTTTTTTATACTCAGGTTCTCCAGAATATGGTGCACTGTGCAGACCTGAGCAACCCCACTAAGCCTCTCCAGCTGTACCGGCAGTGGACGGACCGCATCATGGAGGAGTTCTTCAGCCAGGGTGACAGAGAGAGGGAGAGGGGCATGGAGATCAGCCCCATGTGTGACAAACACAATGCCTCAGTAGAAAAGAGCCAGGTAATGAGCACAGGTGCTCAAATGTACTGTACATACACATGCATACTGTGCTTAGACACACACTGGATGACCTGTTTTTCCCCCACTTGCATCCTGTAGGTTGGTTTCATAGACTATATCGTTCACCCTTTATGGGAGACGTGGGCTGACCTGGTTCATCCGGATGCCCAGGACATCCTTGACACGTTGGAAGACAACAGGGAGTGGTACCAAAGCACCATCCCCCAAAGTCCCTCTCCTGCGCTGGACGAGGCTGAGGACGGCACTCGACCCCCAGGAGGGGACAAGTTCCAATTTGAGCTCACCCTGGAGGAGGACGGGGAGTCAGACACTGAGAAAGACAGCGGCAGCCAGCCGGAGGAGGAAGAAGAGGAGGAGGAAGAGGAGGACAACAGCTGTACTGACTCTAAAACACTCTGTACGCAGGACTCTGAATCAACAGAGATTCCTTTGGACGAACAGGTGGGGGAGGACGAAGAGGAGGAGGTAGCAGAGGAGGGGGAGACGCCCTGCTCACAACCATGTGTAGTGGAGGAAGAGGTAGCAGAGGAGGAGGAGGACGATGAGGAGAAAGAGAAATCCCCTGACACATAGCAGTTTATAGACAGCACCTGATTAACTGTTCTTCTTAGTAATGACAGATGATTATTTATAGAATATTTTTTGGGTTTTGTGGAGTCTGTCTGTGTTTTTTATACATCTATGTTTATGGTTCCAAAGCGTGCGCTGCTCCCCACCTTGGCCACTCCTCCTGTCAGCTTTGTTCAGACACGCCCACCGGTACTTCTTCAAATTTTTTTGCACTCAGGAAAACTCCTTTCCATTCCCATTTGTGCTGAAGTGGTGTGTCTTTATTTCACTTCTACACCTCCCCCTTTATAAGCTTAAGTTTAGGACATGGATGAACAGTTCACAGTCTGCTCAGTTCTGTTCACATGATACACAATATCACCTTTTCCTTCCCTCTGCTTCGTCCCAGCCTGAAAGTTTAACAGTGTTTCTGTGTTTTATCAAGTGCCCATACTCTACAGAGACGGTTATTGGTGTGTTCAAGGAGAATTTCCCTCTCGGTTAGGTCATATCCTCCCCGCTACCAATTGCAAGGCATGTTATTCTGCCGTTCTGCTGAAAACCTGATGGGACGCCGCAGCACACTGGGGAGCTTTCCAAACACATTTCTGATGTGGAAGTCTTCCTTGAAAACCTGACTGACACGAAGCTCAAATCTAAACAGCCATGTTGCTGTCCTAGAAATTTGTTTTTATTGTACTGTATGTAAGATTGAAATATTTTCTAGAATTTACTTTTGCAATCCTAGGATTTCTTTTGTTAGCAAAGAAGATGAGAGATTTTTTGCAAACCAATGGGGAGAAATGATTGACAGGTTTTCAGTGTTTCAAAGCTGGGTAACATTAGGAGTGTTCTGAGGTGTTTGCACTTGCTCCAATAGCATTTATACTTCTATTCCCATGCCACTATACTCATATTTGGTTATTCCTGTGAGTAGAAATTTGGAATTAATTCATAACTATTATTTCCGGTGAGAGTTTTCACTGAGAAGGGAGCAGAAACCTGAAGACTTATGCTTTACTCTCATTGAAACTGTTTGTGATGTGGATGACGCCTTTACATTTTTATTATTGTTGCCTGCAGTTCTTTTGAACACATTCTGAGACAATGCAATGCTTTGTAGTTGATACAAAAAGCACCTTTTTTTTAGACGCTTGATTAGTGATCCGAGTATACAGAAATAGTAATGGTGTTAAAAAATTACTGGATGATTTTATACCAATCTTATGAAAGCCTTCTTTTATTTCCTTGCACATTTTGTTTGATGTACACATCACCAACAGCTGCATACCTGCTTGTCTACAGCCACTTCATTTTCTGTTAATCTCTATGAATTTTTTTTTTTTTTTAATTTTGCCATCACAACATTAAACCCAGTTGCTGTCTTTGTTTTGGACAAGACAATCAGCACCGTTGCGTAGTCATCAGATAAGACTATCCTTTACGTAGATACTCTAATGCACTGATATATTCATATATCACCACTTTAATGTTTTTAATATGTTGAAACTCGCCAAAACACTCACTCATGCATACTTAGGCTTGAACAATGCTGTCTTACACCTCGGCCAAGAGTCTCTTCCTTTTTCCATGTTTCTATCATTTTTCACTTTACACCTAATGCTATTATTTATTGGTATATTTTTCTATTTGTTGAGTTGTTTTTGCAATATAAAGGTGGTACAGTAAATATTTAACTGTAGCATAGACCACAGTACAGGCTTGCCAGTTACAATACCCAAATATACTTTTTTTTTTCTCTGTGTACATAAAATATAGAAAATCAACAAAAGGAAAAAAAAACAAAAGGAAAAAAAAAACACTTGAAATACTGCACACTGCTTTTTTTAAAGAGTGTTTGCTTTAATTATGTGTCATTTCTAAACGTTTTATTTAATCTTTCATTTTGTGCCAAGATTTTTTTTTCTCTTTTTTTCATCCTCACCCAATGCCCTTACCTGTAATAAAAAAAATTTCTGGTTTTATCGCTGTTTACAGACATATATTTATTGTGCTGTATATAATATATAATTATTAATGTTATTACTATCATAATGCCGTTTGTTGTAAATGGTTGATTCTTATCATCCCTTTTGGTGATGGTGTGGCTGTATTACGTACCTCTTGTTGAGAGAATGTTTATTACACAAGAGCTTCAGTGTAAAAATGATCCATCGACATGTTGCTTATCTGAGAACTAGCTCAGTGAAGAGAGGGGGAAAGCCAAATTGTTTTTTAAAAAGAAGCTGTTCCTTGGCCCATGGGCTGTGCCTTAAATTCAACGCATGTCATTTACTTTAGCCTTTTATTTTTTTTATTTCCTAGTTCTCTTTTGCTGCATTAGTGAATCTCTTGACTTGTGTTGGCCTGATCTCCTGTTGTGAAAAAGTTGCCTTTTTACTATCAGCCAAACACAATTTGCATCAAAAATGTGGCACTGGGTAGAAAATATGTTGTCAGTGCAGAGGTTTGTAGAGGCTCAGGTCAACTGCAAGTCATAGATTTACTACTTGAGTGATGTGTGGCCTATAGCTGGATGTCCAAGAGTCACATTTGCTGTAGACCTGGTCTGAACAACTCACACTTCCTTTACACCCTGCCACTACACTCAAAGGTGCGACTCAACCTGTTGGATGTAAACAATATGGGAGTAACTTTGCCTCTGTGTCTGCGTGGAGTTGCTGCCGTGTTGTCTACATCTGTCTGGTTGTATCACAGCTACAAACACTGAATGGGGCGCAACAGGAGTGTGTAGTTGGTGCTTGGCCAAGGCCTATGAAGCACAGAGGCTTTGAGACACACCTGCATGTTCAGCCACTGCTGCATTAATTATGGCTGAAACACTGACAGTGTGTTGATGATCTATGCTCGGCCCACACTTCCACTCACATTACTTGCAATATCCAAAACCACTGACATCTTTCTGCCTGGACAGGAGAAGGGTTTAGTATATTTCTGTAGTGAACAGGGGTTGGGAGGGTGGGATTAGGGTTTGGAGTGAGTGACATCATTGTCCTGACACAGGGACTCTTATTTTGACACACATACTGTAGATTCTAAACAGCCCTGGACCAATGGAAACAGTGGGTTCTTTTCTCATTATGTGTTCTATTTTTTTATGGTATGAAAGGAAAACAAACTGTAACTTAAAAAAAGGTCTTCAGGACAATTATTTTTTGGGTTATGTCTTTAGAATGCCAACTTGTCTGGAAGTTTCACAGGACAATTAAGATGTTATTTTAATGGATTCCTTGTTAATTGCAGTCTATTGGATAGCACTGTAGATCATACAACTTTATGTAAAAAACGAATAAAAAAGAATGAAAAAAAAAGTTTTTATATGCAATGGATTAAATAAAAGCATGGGTTGATTCTGCCTACTCACTGGTTTCTTGTTTCTTGTCATTGCTACAGAGGCTAATCTATAGTCGAGTGTGGAATAGTAGCACCTTGTTATTGCTTTATTAGTAAAAGAAATGACTGATTAAAAATCCTGAATCCAGTTTCTATATTTGGCATTTTAGTTTTTTCCACAGACTGTTTAGATGTGAGACATGTCTCAGTGACATGTCAGTGGGTTTGGTTTGTAGTTTTTCTGCACTAAATGTTGTTCCTTTAACAAAGTCATATTAATGTACTATGTCTGTCATACAGTGCTTTCCAGCAATTGATATTAATGTATAAATCACTTTGAAAGAATCAAGAGAAATAACCGATACAAATGAAGGCTGTTGCACACTTCTTAAATGATATGCCTAATTTTTCATACTTTATTTCCAACTTTTGTAAAAAATTTATGAACAATGACATCCTTTGTATACTACCTATCTCTGTGTGATACTTTCTATCAGCTACAACAGCTGAATGACATGAGCAGTAAATTCACCAGTGTCAATATCAGCTACAAAGTGCATTATAGTGATCATCTCATCATTTAATTATTTAATCATTTAAATCGTGTTTATTTGTTTGTTTTGTTAATTCCACAGTAGTAAACTATCTGTTCCGGTTAATACACACACGTCTGGCACATTTAACTAATATTATAATAGGTATTCTAGTCCTTTTTAAGTAGTAAAAGCAGTAACACCACAAAAAGAAAATACTCAGTTATAAAAAAAAACAAAGTTTTGCATTTAATATTTGTACTTAAAAGTAATAAAAAAGCTGAAATACTGCAGCAGAGTGACCTCTCTGTGATTTTATAATATGTATTGGATCATTATTACTGTGTAAGCAGCATCTTCATATTGTAGCTGCTGGAGGCAAAGATGCCATGAACTACATCATCATAGCATTACTAGCTGTTGAGGAATTGTCACAACTGAGTAATTTGCTGTAATTTAAATCAATGCATCATAGTTTATAAACTCATCAAAAGTCCTGTATTTAAAATCTAGATATGCAAAGTAACTAGAAGGTATAGTTGTAACATAATTGTAGGGGAGTAGAAAGTAAAACATTGTCCACTGAAACTGAGTGCAGAAGAAAAAAAGTAAAAGTAGCAGAAAATTGAAGTAATCAAGTAAGTGATCTCACAGTACTACTGTACCTCCAGATTTTTAGTACAGTAAGTTTAGTACAGTACTTGATTTGACTCAACAAAAATGTAAGTAAACATACTGTAATGTTCAGTCATTACCAACCAGAGCATCTCATATCATGGGGCAGACACAGCGCTGAGACAGTAGGTGGCGCACAGTGCCTAGAAACGGAGCAAGGCTTCTGTGCTGCATCAACAGAACAGAGGGAGGTTACTGAAACAGCAGGCGGGGCAGCAGCCACTGAATTCCTCCTCTGTGCTTCCATATAGTCAGCAGAGAGCGGCAGAGAACACACAGACCCACTGATAGAATTTGATTTATTTCCTATAATCTCAAAAACATACCTCTTACTTTGCTTGCACTCCAAGAAACAAATATATTCAGTTATATGTAAAGTCGTAGTGTTTTAAAATGAGATTTGACCAGAGTGACTGTTTTGGCATCTGAACAGCCACATTCACTATTCCTTTGTGAAATGAATCTTGACTTTAGATCATTACAATAATTTATTTTAATGGCTATTAGCATAAAATTATAATATCACACACATACACAAATGCACACGCACAGAGCACGTGTACACACATATGCGCAGGATCTCTGAACTAGTTTATGTGTATCCCTTTTTTCTGGAATTACATCAGTATGGCATATGGCATGGACTAAGTTATCTCCCTGACTATCTTTCACAACAACACTGCATTTTGACATGATAATACAAGTTCAATCAACACCCAACAGTTAGCAGGAACAGCATTTAGTACGTGAATACATTTGTACAAAAGGTATACACAAACAATACAATATATTACGTAATTTGTCTCTTCAATATGGCAGGTACATACACACACACACACACACACATACACACACACACACACACACACACACACACACACACACACACACACACAGACACACACACGCACACACCAAGTCACACATTCAGTGGCTGCAGTTACTGAGTGAAGCACACATTGTACATCAGTTTCAGAGCCATTCTGACCAAACTGTCACTCACATACTGCAGACAGAGTCATTGTACTCGAGGACAGGAGAAACTATGTACAGGGTTTAATTCATAAAATATTGCACTTATTGGCCCATTGCATCTCACAGCAAGTGCTATGACAATGCTCCTAAATCTGTAACATAGAGTGATATATACACTATCTTATTATATAAATCTACATAGATAAGTCAGGACAGACTTCATGCATTTTTTTGGAGCTTTTACTCAACTATGCAACAACTGACGACTCGAAAGGAACTGTAATGTTTTGGCACAAATGTTTTTTTTCTTCTTCTATGAATTGCAGAACTGAAAGGCTTTCTGGATTTTGTAATAAGCTACAAGTTTTATACTATATGGACTTATTGTTATTAAGACCACTACAGTACTGTATATGTTTGCTATGGGGAGCTTCCCATTTTAAACTACTGCATGTCTATGATGTTTTCTAAACAGCTTACTGAGATTCTTCTTTCAGGAGGGACTTAATTTTATAGTACAAACATGAAATTTTAGCATGCTGACTCAAAAATGAAATAGTACGTTTTATATATGGCTGTTTATTCCAATGCCAGAGCTGATTTGTATGTCATACACTGTACTGTCAGTCAGTGTGAGATTTTTTTTTGATGAATGCTGTATCACTGCTATCGTATGGAGTTGAGGATGGTAAGGTTCGGTAAGGCCTATCTTACGATCTTTAAACAGCACATATGACTTTTTGGCAGCATGCTCATCGCATCAAACTATAAAGGGTCATCTTAGAGGCTAAGCACATAGAAAGAGTTGCTTTACTTATCAGTGAAATCACACATCTACAGACAGCAAAACGTGGAATAGTACTCACATCAACGTTATACACACTGGATTCATTCCAAAAGTAAGGGACTAACAGAGGGACGTACAGAGGCCGTGTTGGAGATGCTAAAAGGCCACTTTTTTTTATCCAAGGTAGATGATTTTTAGATGACAAAGTTGCACTCATTTGTGACTCAGACACAATACTCACACTCATGCAACCCACACTCACTTACAGCACCACACATTCATTACACAAAAGAAAACCGCTACATCCTATAGTGCACTAAATCATAGATTTGGCAGCTTTAGGAAACAAAATAGACCTATAAAAGGAAAAAAAAAATATACAGTACCAAAAAATAAAAATAAAAAAATTATCAAAGCACTCATTAACTCCATCCCTCATTTTATAATTATTCTAGGTCTTAAAGAGTTTAAAGGTTTTCAGGA